CACAGCAGCCCCGGTTCACGGTTGCCTGGGCTGTCTGCCATAAACAGGGGCTGCTAGACTCAGCGTGAGCCGGGACCGAACAGTCCCGACTCATGCTGGTTGCTGCGCCTCTGCATTTTAAATGTAGGGTGTGATGTAGTTGGGGTAACTTGCTAGGGCTGTGGGCGACCTCTGCTGTCTGTAGCACGACCCAGCAGGACAGGGGATGAGTCATTACGTAAAGGGGGCTCCAAACCTGTCTGACCAGCTACCCCCCAAGGAGAGAATCAAAGGAAGGTGGAATGCTGCCCTGGCTGGGGGGGGGGCAGGGCTGGAAGAGGGTTAGTTAGTTGCTGTCTGGGAGCATGGAGGAGACAGCCTAGGGAAGGAGCTGGGGAGTGGGCTGGGATTGTAGGGCCCAGCCACCCCCCCATCTCAAAGGGGGGCATTGAGGCCTCTTAGCCCCAGTTCCTGTAACCAGATTACATCTGTGCTGTGCTGTATCCTGGAGGAGCAATAAACTCCCTCCATTCTACTGGCTGGTGGAGTCTGTTCGTGCCATTACAGGGGTGCAGGAGGTGGGAAAACCCCAACGCGCCATCACAGCGCTACACAGTATGTTCTCGGAGGGGCAAGTCATCTAGAGCCGGATCCTGAAGCTACCCCACTGTAGAGTGGCGCTTATCGACTTCTCATGTAGTTGATACAAACACGGGTTTTTGGAGCTGTTTTTTTTGCTTCTCACTTGTGAGGTCCCCAGCTGATTTTTCTGTGGGTCAGTGGCCTCCCCATCTAAAAAAGGTTCCCCGCCCTTGCCATAAGTAAAACATTGAAACCTTTTGTGTTGATAATAAATTAATATTTTACTTTATTTAAAATGAAGTTTGATAAACTAACACAAACACTTGTGTTTAATAATAATAATAAATAATTAAACAATAATTTAAATTAAACCATCCTCTCTAGCTTCAGCACTAGCAGAATGGCTCAAGTGTAATTAACAGTGAGTTTCCATTAGCAACTGGTGGTATGCAGAAATGTTTACATTGAGCCAAGTGGTTCACAGGCCAAAAAGTTTGAGAACCACTGAAATAGAGGCATCCCTGGCCTCTCCCCCCGAGTTAATGCAATGCAAGTTGAGTTAATGCAGTTGCAGTGTAGTTGCATGGGAGGGTCCTTTGGGGGCCAAACCCATCCCTATTGGCAGAGGAGAGTGGGAGAAGTTCTTAAAGGGATCACACAACACCCTTTACTTCTGGTCATGTGTCCATCTTAACCCTGGAAGTACTACCTCCAGGGTGGGATTTTGTGCCAGGTGGGTGGGACCTAAGAGATCAGGGGGTGTGGATAATGAGGCTGGGAGCTTGGCTAATGTGTCCCTATTTTTAGTTCAGAAAACATGGTCACCGTAGGTATAGGGAACAGTGAGATGGTATCATTGATATGTCAAGCTCAGTGCATCCTCTCCTCTTCGTTGCAGATCCACTTACAGATGTGCACTTTAATCAGTTTGACTAGCCCTGAGTGGTTGCTGACACCCTCAAATTCAATTTGTTTATGATAGCATCCAGGTATTAACACTGGAGCTCTGCCTGTGTCCTTTCTAGATTGGTCTCTGGAGACTGAGAAGATTCTTCAGCCACCTAACCCCCAGCCAGTGTACAGTGGTTTGGGCTTTTAAGTTTTGTGGTTTTTTTATGGGAGTGCATGCTATATCATGCTATTGTGAAATTATCAGACAAGAGGGAGCAAGACTCAGTGTCTGGATACAAGGAATTTAGACATGGATGCTCCTGTCCATAGCAGCTTTCTGTTCTAGGAGCTATGCTAACTTAACTGTTTGGCAGGACTTGTTTTCTCTGGGCCTTTACTATGTGGTGACTGGGTGTCTAGAACTAAATATACGCAATAAATACTTTGTAGCATAGCCATCATTCTAATGCTTGATTTTTTTTTTTTGTAAGGTTGGCACCGATGAGCAGCGTAGATAATTATTTCTAGGCCTTGCATGGGATAGTTAACATTCGGCAACCGTCAGACAACTCTGTGTTCTCTAAATTTTGTTTCCTTTGACTCAGGTATCGCTGTCTTGATACGAGTCCCAGTACATGAAAGCAAAAATAAGCTTGGGCTAAAAGTGAGACACATGCTTAATTGTTTGTTCTGCTTATTTTTGTGTTTATGCTGTCACAATGAGCTACTGAAGCTTGTGTTTCTCACCATTCTTACAGTTTATTTTAATCTTATTGTGATTAATGAGAAATAGTTTTTGACTGTTTGAGTTGTGATAAACTTACCCTATCTGTTCCAGTGAGCTAATTATAAAAGTCATACACTGAGTCTCTTACTTTCCATGAACTTACAAGTAAGTAATGGCAGTGCTTTTATAACATGTCCTTCAGTAGTATATTAAAGATTCAACTATTCTTTCGAGCTCTAGGTACTACATGTGTGTAGCTTCTAATTTTTTACATCTGCCTTATTTTTAATTTCTAGGTCTCAAAAAAAAATCCTTTGCTGAAAATCACTCTATAAAGAGTTCATTTTATGATGTCCAGTACTGTATCCTCCTGGATTTTGAGTTCGGCAAGAAACGGTATCGTTATTTTGCAAGGAAAAGGACGTTTGTACTCAAGATGTATTGCAAACAGAAACAAGATGAAAGGAAAATGTGGGTTTGCCAGAGGGCCTCTTTCCCCTTTTGTGCTGAGCTGCAACATAGACAATGTCTACACTTCTAAAAAAGCATTCAGACATACTTCAACTGAAGAAGAAGACTTCATCCTTCATTTGGCACCATCACAAATAAATGATATACTAAGAGCAAGTGAATTTTCTCATAAATTTCATGACTTTGATGGTAAAAATACAAATTCGGTGCTGAAATTTGAGAGCAACCAGCTGGCTGCCAACTCACCTAATGAAGATCGTAGAAGTGCAGCTACATGCTTGCAGACCAAAGGGATGATGTTTGGGGTCTTTGATGGTCATGCAGGTTATGCATGCGCTCAGTCAGTAAGTCAGAGACTGTTCTATTATGTAGCGGTCTCTCTCATGTCTCAACAAACACTGGAAGAGATTGAATTTGCCATGGAACACATGAAACCAGTTTTGCCAATTTTGCAGTGGTACAAATATCCAAACAACATGTACCAAGAAGTAGCCTCACTGTACGTGGATCACCTGAGAGTTTATTGGCAGGATCTATTGAACCTTGACATAGAACTGGGATTTAGTGTAGAAGAAGCCTTGATACATGCATTCAAGAGATTAGATTCAGATATATCACTGGAAGCTCAGGCTTCCTTAGAAAATGAAATGATAAGAAACACTGCCCTGCAAGTGGCTTTCTCTGGTGCAACAGCTTGTGTGGCTCACATTGACAGTGTTCACTTACACATTGCAAACACTGGGGACTGCAGGGCGATCCTAGGGGTCCAAGAAGAGGATGGAACATGGTCTTCTCTCTCTCTCACTCGAGACCACAATGCTTCCAATGAAGCAGAAATCAGAAGGTTAAAGGGAGAACATCCTAGATCTGAGGAAGAAACTGTAATCATGAGCAACAGGCTGCTCGGGATTCTCATGCCCACTAGAGCTTTTGGAGATGTCAGATTTAAATGGAGTAAAGAACTGCAACACAGTATTCTGGAGAATGGTTGTGATGTTGAGGCTTTAAATATTTACCAGTATGCTCCTCCCAATTACTATACACCTCCCTATTTAATTGCAGAGCCTGAAGTCACCTACCATAAACTGAGGTGTCAAGATAAATTTCTGGTTATCGCTTCAGATGGACTGTGGGACATGCTGAATAATGAGGATGTCATAAAACTTGTTGCAGAACACCTAGCACAAGCTAATGTGCAGAAACCAAGGATGACTTTTGAGAAACCAGCCAGTTTGGGTTACATGCAAAGTCTGCTTCTTCAGAGAAAAGCCAGCGGTGTTGATTCATATGACCAGAATATAGCTACTCACCTGATAAGGCATGCAATTGGAGATAATGAATATGGAGAGATTGACCAAGAGAAACTTGCTGCAATGTTGACTTTACCTGACGATTTAGCAAGAATGTACAGAGATGACATCACTGTTACTGTGATATATTTTAATTCAGATACAATTGATAGCTACTACAAAGAAAATGAATAAGGGTTGCATTAATATTGTACCATAAAATGGCCAACTTGATAGTTGGGATCTTTAATGTTTGCTTCCACTAAGACAAGCTATTACAAAAGCTATTGTTTGCAGATCCCCTGCTCTTTAATACTGAATAGCCATGAGTGCTTTTGGAAATAATTTTCTAGAAGAAATAATTGGTAAGACTTCTCTGGGCTCTCAGTTTTATGCTGATTTGAACTAAAATGTACTGCTTGCAGTTCAGCAGAATGTAAGTGAAGGCAGGAATCCAAGATAGTGAGCCTACTCCTGGTCCCATTCACATCAGTGGCAAAACTCCTAAAGTGAACAAAAAGGAAACAAATTGATGTAGACAAGTATTATGTGTCAGTGAGGGGTAGTGCTTGTAACAGAACCAAGAGCAAAAAAGAGCCATTGTTCAATGTCCTCACGTAAGATAGAGTAGCCTCCTCTCAAAGCACAGTAGTCAAAATCTATATTATGACTGTAAGGACACTAGGTTGTATCAAATACTTGAAATTGAATCCCTTAAACTAAATGTTGTCTTTTATGCTTGGAAAATCATTTAAAACCAGACTGTGAACTTGGGTTTTGGGGATTGCCAGACTACTTTTTGGTAATTGTATTTTATGCCTATTGTAAGGAAACAAAACATACTTTTTTCAAGACTAGCTGATGTTAAAATGTGAAACTGAATAGAAATAACATGAGAGAGAACACATGCACGTGTAACAATCTACAGTTCAAATGCACTTTAAACTAGTTTACAATTTTGTCTTTAGGAATATTATTCTGTCTTCGGGAATATTATATATTTCTAATTTAATGATTACTTTTACCACACCAACAGTACTTTGGAATATTTTCTTATGCATTTTGTTTGACTTACTAAAAATCCATTTTATATTCAACATTGCTGCTTAAATGCATAGTATTTCATAAATCAATCTATGAAACTTCAACTTAAATATTGTCCATGTATGCATCCAGAATTATATAAGAGCATCTGAAACTTAAGTATAGCAGTTAGCAACAACACTGCATTTACTTTTCCTTTAAAAAATAGAATTGACGACAATACTGGCATTTCACCAAAGAGAAATTCATTCTTTTTTCTTCTACTCTGTCTTCTTTTAAGATGTGAACTGCTTATGTCCATGTGCACAGTGCTGCTTAAATGCTTTTGATTACTATTCAAACCCTTAATTCCCCAGTGAAAATTTCTTTACAGTTTTTACATTTAAAAACATTTAGGTATTTAAAATTTACTAAAAAAATCAGCATTGTATAGCTTTCTTTTCTATTCCACTTCCTAGAATACTCTATTTAAATCTTGAAACTGGCTTTCCTTTTTAAAAAAATTGGCATACACTGTAATGTTGTACTGACTTTTCTTACACATTGCATAAATTCCTGCCTTCAGCAATGTGTACTGTAATTCAAGAAACAGAGGCCTCAGTTTTATTGTGGTTGCTACCAAGAAAGTACCTGTGTGTGTGCTCCAGAACTAGTAATATGTAGAGCTCCCTCCCCCCACACCACCATACTTGTGCTTGATTTTTTTTTTAAAGGGGTGGCTTTTTTCTTAATTTTCCTGCACGTTAGCATGTTAAAGAGATCTAAAGTTCAAAGGTTCTCTCTCCTAGTAACTGTAAAGCAGAAAAAGTCTTAGGCCTAAATTAGTAGCGTTTGTGTCAAGTGGCTTTTCAAAAAACAATTTATTCATCAGTATAAACTAGGGATGGAAAAGGTTAACCAGTAAACTGGTTACCTGTTAAACATTAGGCTTACTGGAATGCTTACCCAATAACCGATTAACTGGATCTGTACAAACCTGGTGGATGGCCAGTTGTAGGATGTCCAGAAGGACCCTGCCTGCCGCAGCCCAGCCTTGAGCAACCCCCACCTATGATGGCCCAGTACGCCACAAGGATTGGCTTGGAGCAGCCTCCTGCTGGTAGCAGGCCAGCTGGCAAGATCCTGGCTGCAGTGAACTGGATTGGAGCAGCCCTGGCAGGACCCCAGCTGCTCTGCACCAGCCCTCCAATGGTTAACCAGTTATATGATATAATTTTAATCATTTAACCTGTTTACTGTTTTAATGGGTATTTACATCCCTAGTATAAACCATATGTTATGGATTTGTACATCATTTAAATAATATTCCAACTTTAAAGCTACCTAGGAAACTGCTCAAACTGTTTAAAGTACTAATGTGGATAATTAATCATGGGCAGATTTGGTACAATTGTGTATGCATTTTGATGATATGCTGACAGTTATTGCATCCATGGTTGCAACTGTCAGACAGCTTCATCTCCATATTATCTAAATGTTCCTTTCCCTAATATGATTGTCTTGATTTGAGTCTTATTACCTGAGAGCACTTAAACATGTGTAACTTTAAGCCCGTGTTAATTTCTATGTGTAGTAAGGGATGCTTTCCTAAATCAGGACCTTAGCACAATAAAAACAACATACATTAAAGAACTTTTTGTTTAGCACATGCCAGAGCAGAAAAGGCAATTTAACTTTGAGACAGCTGGAATTTTTTCTATATTGCTAGTCAAATGTGGCATTTTTGTGCTTGAAATATACAGCAGATTGAGTGGCTGAAGGAAAAAGATTTGAGTCTTGGAGTGGTGGTGAAAGCTGAAGAAAGCATTTGTGTGGGGGAGAGAATAAGGGGATGTTGAAATTTTGGAGTCTCATTCTCATTTAGTCTTAATCCATCCCTACCTGCTGGGGTGGCATTGGACTCACTGACACGTCTCATCGGAAGAAGAGGGGGGAGGCTGTAGAGGAGGACTTGTAGGTCGCAATGCTAAGGAGGGGACTAGTTTCTGAGCAAGTTTTTTGAGAGCCCTTCCCAAACTTCTACTTCCCATTTAGCCTTAATCTCTGAATAGTTTAAGTGGGATGTCTTTTCCCAGGTGCCTATACTTTTTTTGTAAGAGTCTATGCATGAGCAGTTTCGTTGTTTACATCAGTAAGACTGTCACCTAAAAAGTAGTGCTGTAAAGGATTGTATATCTAGACTACCTCTTATTAGATAAGGGCACTATCAATAGTGTTGAGGCTAAGAGAACGAAGTGTGCTAGACCCTGGTAGAATAGATAAAAATCAAAATTTTATATATAGTATGTTAAAGCAATCGGTATTCCAATAAAATACTTGAGATAATGCAAGCCTTTATCTGTAAAAATACAGTCTTGTAAATCTAAGTACTTAAGATATAGTTAAAATGACTTAATCTTCAATTTTGTGAATATTGTATATTTCATGAAATCGGGATTTGTTGTGCAAAAATTGAACTGTTGTCCTAAGGGATCTAATGTTACTGGTACATATGTGAATATAACTTTTTTTTTTCAAATTGGTGATTATTATTTTGGGGATTGTAATCACCTCAGACAATAGAACTGGTACTAGCTCTAATTTGATGCCAGCATGTGCCTGATTTAACTTGTAATACTGTAATTATTGTTCCTTGGTAAAAGATAACATTAAAGTGAGTACTGAGTGTTCAGTTCACAGACAAATAATGGTGTTTAGCTACACTCTCTTACTTTTTGTTGGAAACTAATACATTCCTGTTGGTGACTAAGTTGATAGCAAAACTCCCATCAACATCTGTTAGAATGTGATCATACCTTAAATTTTGTAATGGCACAATCATATTTAATAGGCATTCATGTATAAGGTATACAGTGCTTTGAAATTGTGGCAACATGCTTCAGTGCTAAAACAATTTAAGTGAAGTTAGTATATTGATCATAAGATACAGGATGACTTGATAGCTGAGTTTGGGACAACTTTATGCATGGAGATTAAACATTTTTCAGTTTAACAATATTTTTTATAATATCTAGTCAGGATGTAGTCATGAAACTACTCATTGCCTGTGGAACTTGTTTTTTGCATACCCCTCAAATGTGCCTCTTAAATCTAAATAAAACAATCTTAGTTAAAACACTGGTGTATATACTCATCCTTTCCAAGGAAATGTATTCATATAAACCTGACTTTATTTTGGATTTGAACTATAACTTTCTGGCATTATTTTGAAACTTAGTTACATTATGCAAAAATATTTGGTTTTGCTGAGTGCTTGTTTTAAGAATACTTTTCTCTCTGTACTTAGAATGACTTATTTATATTTAAGTTTTCAGACCTTCATAGGGTTTATTGATTTTTCTAATTACTTTCTGAATATTGACATGAATTATTTTGTAAATAAAAAATATGCATCCTACAGTTGAGTAAAAACTGATTTCAAAATGCCATCTTAATACCCACATCTTATTTGTCTTGGGGAGGGAGGGGCTAAGGTGGATGTAGAGTGCTAGGTTAGGGCTGGTGTAACTGCAAACTTAGATTGGTATACCTGTGTGTCTCAGGGTGCAAAAATCTACAACCCTGCGAGATGTAGCTGTGTCAAACTAGCCTTTGATGTATACAGTGCTAGGTTGGCTTTTCTGTCAACCTAGCCATTGCCTTTTGGGGAAGTGGATTACCTCTGCTGATGGGAGAATGGAAGCCAACTTTCCAATGTAGTGGGGGTGCTTGACCCCTGGCTCTGCCGCAGGCCCCACCTCTACTTCTCCTTTTCCCCCAAGGGCCCTCCCCGCCCCTCCTCTTCCAGCCCTGTTTTATATCCTCCCACAGTGTGTTGCAATTTTGTCTGATCAAAGAGTAATGCAAGTAGCTCTTGTCTAACGCTACAGTTTATTAGGTGTTAAGCACACACAAATGTAAGCAATAGGTTAAGAACATTCCAACTATTTCAATAATTCCTGGAATGATATCAAGTAATTAACAGAAGGTTCGCAGTGGCCAGTTGTTCACCGAGGGTGTCAGAAAAATGTCTTAGAATGACTTTAGAGGAATGTTTTAAAATACACTTTATTAGCTAATGTTTATAACTATTACAAAACACAGAAGTTATAATTACCTTTACTATATTATTACTTGTAAATTAGAGGTGTAGATTTTTTTTTTTTTTAAGCACCATGATTTAGTTTTATTATTTACTTGTTTGGTATTTTTATTTTGATTAGCAGAAACTACTAGCTAGTTTTGATCTTGTCTTTAAAAGCCTGTTTTTAAATTCACCAGTAACTGTTTCCTAAGGAAACTATAAAACATCGATAACCTCCCCAATAACACCATCCTTGCCACCATGGATGTATAAGCTCTATATACCAACATCCCACATGAAGACGGATTACAAGCAATTAGAAACACTATCCCAGAGGACACTACTGCCAACCTGATAGCAGACCTATGTAACTTTGTTCTCACCCACAATTATTTCCAGTCTGAGAACAACTTATACCTCCAGATCAGCGGCACAGCCATGGGTACGCGCATGGCCCCACAGTATGCTAACATCTTTATGGCTGACCTAGAACAACGTTTCCTCAACTCCCGTCCCCTTTCACCCCTTCTCTACCTACGGTACATCGATGACATCTTTATGATCTGGACGCATGGCCAAGAAACACTGGAGATATTCCACAGAGATTTCAACAACCTACACCCCACCATCAACCTCATCCGGGACCATTCTACATGAGAGATCCACTTCCTGGACACCACAGTACAATCAACAATGGAAAATTAGACACCACTCTCTACAGAAAACCCACCGACTCATACAGTTACCTACATGCTTTCAGCTCCCATCCAGAACACACCACACGATCCATCGTCTATAGCTCTAATCCCACTGACAGAGACCAGAAGCTTCAGGATCTCTACCAAGCATTTATAAACCTCAACTACCCACCCAGAGAAATAAAAAAGCAAATTGAAAGAGCCAGACGAATACCTAGAAACCATCTACTTCAAGACAGACCCAAGAAAACCAACAATAGAACACCACTTGTCATCACCTACAACCCCCAACTAAAACCTGTCCAACACATTATCAATAAACTACAGCCTATATTGGAACAGGATACCATACTCAAAGAGGCTCTGGGAGACAGACCCATAGTCTCCTATAGACAACCACCTAACCTCAAGATGATTCTTACCAACCACCACAGGACATACCACACTAATACCAACCCTGGTACCTTCCCTTGCAACAAACCCCGTTGCCAGCTTTGTCCACATATTCATTCTGCTGATACCATTATTGGACCTAACCAAGTGAGTTATAAGATCAAGAACACATATTCCTGCGCATCCAGAAATATAATCTATGCTATCATGTGCCGAAAGTGTCCGTCTGCTATGTACATTGGACAAACATCTCAGACACTTCGCCAAAGGATTAATGCCCACAAAACAGATATCAGACAAGATCACAAAGAGAAAACAGTTTCTTGCCACTTTAACCAGAAAGGACACTCTCTAAATGACTTAGCCACCTGCATTCTGCTACAAAGACCTTTTACATCTGCACTTGAAAGGGAATCCTCTGAACTGTCATTCATGTTAAAATTCGACACTTGCCAACAAGGACTTAACAAGAATTTGAACTATCTCACCCATTACCAAGACAGTTTCCCCAATTATCACCTGTAATACCATTAACTCACAAACATCCCACTCTCCCTACCTTTAATATCAGCAATTCACAGACACTTACCTTCCTTCCTCCCCCTTCCCACCCCCCCGCATCCTCCTTCTGTTCTGCCATCCCCCTTCTGTTCTGAAATGTGATTTGTCCTTTTCATATGTGTTCATTTTTTTTTAATTGTATCCTTTGGTATATATGGTTGTGACTATTTTCTTCCACTATTTGATCTGAGGAAGTGGGTCTGGCCCACAAAAGCTCATCATCTAATAAACCATCTTGTTAGTCTTTAAAGTGCTACATTGTCCTGCATTTTGCTTCAGCTACCCCAGACTAACACGGCTACATTTCTCTCAGTAACTATGTAATATTCTATTTTATTAATTTATAGTGAGCGAATGCACATAATATGGTTGCAAATAGCTTTCATTCTGAAGTATATACTTCCCTTAAATCCAGGGCAATAGGGAGAGAAGTGAGGGGCTTTTGGCTGTGATGATGTTATCCATTTTGTCATGAATTTCTTCAAAAATTGTCATCAGAATGAGCTACTTCTTAAATAAATAAAAACAGCCAACCAAAGAATTCGATCGTATATCACAGGGCCAGGGAGCATTAAGTTTGGATCCTCCTGATATCTTCAGTGAAGTTGAAGCAAAGTAGCTGTTGCTGAAATGGCAAAATACTTAACACTTTCCTCAAATACAACTCTTTGGGTTAAAAGAGGGGTCAAATTGAGTGCTGCACCAATGTAACTTTTAGGTTCTCTTCATTATTTTCTAGATTTTATTTTCATTTTTGCTATGTTTGCAATAGTGTCTGTGATAAAGCTATAGACTTGATGCTTGAATTTTTGTTCATTTTGTTCTAGCTCTTACTGCTATTATGGTATATGGATCAATTCCTGTGAGGGAGAACTGCATCTTGTGTTATCACACAGGAACTCATTACTGGATCATTATTTATAAAGAGCTGGATACCGAGTATGAGATGGAAATTGACTACTTTAACAAATTTGTCCTCAAATTTTTACAGTCTCACTTTTGATGGGTGTAACGTGTGCTCTGCTGGATGAAGTATAGCCTGCTCATGATGACTGAATTGTGTTGATGAAATGCTTGTTTTGAACAAGATGAAAGGGAGACTGCTTGATTCATTTATGGAATAATCTTTTCGTTTGTGGATTTTTGGAATTTGGTGGTCCTCATTAACAGCTCATCCATGGCTTTACTGGATGATGAAACTTCTTTTTTTGTTTTGTTTTGTTTTTGATACAAGTAACTTAATGTAATTTAGTCTCAGAGGTAGCCATGTTAGTTTGTAACTTAAAAAAAAAATATAGTATCCTGAACCTTCATGGGTAAAACCCACTTCATCAGATGAGCACATTTAATGTCATTTAGCGAGATGAGGTGGGTGATTTTTTTTTTTTTTTTTTTTTCTTCCTGGACAAACTTGTTGGTGTGAGAGGCAAGCTTTTTGAGCCACACAGACTTGAAGAGCTCTAGGAAAAGTACTTGTCACAACTAAAATTCAAGCTGTAACAGTCTGTTTAGCAGTTCTTAAGAGACCATTCAGATGGAATGACCTACTAACACTTCTGCAGTCATAGTGTCATAATACCACTGCTAGTGGTAGCAGCAGAGGAGTCAGAAGTTGTGGACATAGCAGATGATAGGTATTCATTACCCAGGGTAACCTAAATCAGCGCTTGAAACGTGATGTTTAAAGAGCAACAAAAACCTCTCTCTCTCTCTCTCTCTGAATATGACTCAGTGCACTGTCTTCAAAAAGACATTGTAAATGAAAGATTCTTCCTACTTCAGATGTTTGTGCCACTTTTAAATTGATTTATTCTAAACTCAGTTTTATAGGGAAAATAATACATCATAGGGATTATTTAAATCCCTATCGCCAGCAATATATCAAGTTGAAAACCCCGCACTTTTAACATTTTAACTTATTAATGTCTAAAAACTTCACACTTAAACAGAAGTATTCACCTAGATGTTTGATTATATAGAGCAATAAAAAAGTAGGAATATATATAACTGATAAACACTCTGATGACAGAATTGACATAAGTGATATTTTGAACATACACTCTTTGAAATTCGTAAGTAGCAGGGTTGCTGGAACAATTTGTATAGAGCAGGGGTCAGCAACCTACGGCTCGGTATGGAACCAAATAGGGCTCTTTTGTCATTCCCAAAATACATGGAACTTTTTAAATTAAAATGAAAAATTCATTCAAAATTTCCAAAACGTGTAATTGTTCATGTCAAGATGAGTCTTTCTTTGTCTTTCACCTTTAACCAGAGGTGAAAGTAAGGCAGTGTGCTATGGTAAGTGCCAGCTGGAAGACTCTGATCATTTGAAGGGCTGGCTGAGGGCATGCTGTAGGGGATGTGCACACACTCCAAGCTTGGATAATGAAGAGGGGCTGGCAGCAGCAGATGCCTCTATCTGGCTGCAGTGGCCTGGCTCCAGACCCCATCTGATGGCTGCGGTCTGTCCCTGGGCTCCTGGGGCAGACCCTGTGGCCTAACCATGGTGGCCCCGCAACAGCTGCAACAGCCCACCTGCGGCAACCTGGCCAACAAAACCCCAATCTGGGCCCAGCCCCCATCTGGCCATAGTGTCCTGTCCCCAGCCCCAAACCTGGGTCAGGACTCTCAGTCTAGTCGCAGGAAGGGCTGGCGGTGGCCCTCCTTCTGCTGTGGAATGGGAAGGAGGGGAAGCCACAATCTGGCTGTGGCAATTGTGGCCCAGCCCCTTGTCCAGTCTTGGCTGCGCAGGTGCAGTAGCTCAGACTTGACCAGGTAAATTAATCTGGCCCCACGGCCTCCACATATTCTACTTCCCACTGTTGTACTTAAAAGAAGTACTCGGGATATTTTTCAGGGGGATAAGGCAACATGCCACATTTATTGAACATCCATAGATCAATCAATACTTATCATATGCATATGACACATTGCACTCACTCATACACAAGCACACTCTGTCTTGTTACCAAAAGTTGCTCCCCCTAACTGCACCGGCCAGGTGAGTTAGATGGGGGAGGGGTGGAGCCGGGCTTCTGCCGATCCGGATCGATGCTCCCATGTTGACAAGACGAAAACCTGGGGTCCCTCTGCAAGATGCCTCCTATTTATCCCTCTCATGCAGCCAATTAGTCACTACCTCGCCTTTCCTAATGCTGCTTCAAAGAGAGTTCTTTCAAGGGCTGGCACTTGCTGCTTGACTCCCAAGGTATCTGTATGTCCAGTCTTCTTAATGAGCTCACTGCACAAGTATTGTCTTCAATCTGGCTCCCAGACCTTCTCCACCCTTGCAACTGCTGCTGGAGGTGCTCACCTTTCATTCTCCATTCACACCTCATTCATTTCAACCAGGCAATCAAGGAAAGGGGAGAACTCCAAAAGACATTTTTTCTTACAAGATCTATATATCTTAATACAAAGTTATTGGAGAAATGTTAGCGATTCTATAAGAACACCCTAACAAAGATATATCTAAAAGGACAAGATCTTAATATAAAATATAATATTACAGGGATTTATCCACATCACCCCCAGCGCTCTGCCTTGCCTCCTGCATCTCCCATACACCTCAACCCCCTGCCCTGAGCCCTTCATACACTTCAACCCTGACTCATGCACCCCCATCCACA